CAAGTTGTAAGCAATCTTCCAAAGCAATACAAAAGCCTTCTTCCAAAACTCTCTTTGTTCTTTCTAAGTCTTTCCTTAAGCATTCTCTTAGCGATCTAGTCTTAAAAGGCTTACTTGAGCTTACAAGATCGTGAAAGATTCGTGAGTAAGTTGTCAAGTGCCGCACGGAGCTTTAGTAAGACTCTAAGTCCGTGACAATATGCTGTTTATTTTTTCATCAACTTGGCCATTTGCTGTATATGACTTTTCATCGGCATAGTGAAATAAATGATAACTAGGGAAGATGTTAGTCGTTGAATGAAGAACGCTAGAGAAGATACTACTGTTTATGATAGTGCTTTTTTAAAAGTAGGAGCATGTTAGATTAATCACCATGTTCTATGTTGGATGATGTGAAGTTTGTGTCTTTTATTTGAGAAAAGGCGACTCAGGATTTTATATTGGTTAGGAGTAGCTCTTTTGAGATGAGTGTTAATGATACTAATTTTAATAGCCTCCAAGTTTTCTTTCTTACACAAAGCCTCTACCTTACCCCTATTACCCTCATCCCCCTCCGCCACCAGCTCCTCCTCTACCTCCTCTGTTACCATCTTCCGCCTCACCTCCACCTTTTGCAGTAAATCCAACAACTTTGGTGAGTTCATATAATAATATTTCTCCTCTTATCCTAGCTATCAAAAGGAAAAAAGAAAAGAAGAAGTTCCCATTTTCGAATTCTGGAAGGATTGAGAAACTGACTGGATCTGCACAACCAGTCCATTTTGTATTTACTGCTCTTTGTATTTACTCCACTATCCTTCCTCTTTTTGCTACTGAACGTCAAGCTACATATTTGTTTTGTTAAGCCTATAAGCAACTAGATTTTATTTATTTTCTTAGCAAGGGGAATGCTTGATTATTCCAAAAGGTAAAAAACTTAAAAGAGCTATGGACTGAAATAAGGGAAACATTATGTCCACCTATTAGCATTTAGATAAGAGGTTTTGCAGTATATTTGGATATAGAAAGTCTTCGAGGACAGGTATAGCACTACTAACTACTACTGGAAAATTTTTGATTGTCTTGAATCATTGTAAATTCAGATATGTCAGATAAACATGTAATCTAAAGTCATTTCAGGGTTAGATCATGTTATAAAATATTCATTGTAACATGCCCCTATTTCTGATAACATGCCCTGACAGGGATCCTGGCTTTTCCTACTGGGTGCTTGACATGTTCAGATGCAAGAGGTTGCTGGGGAACGTGGAGGTTACCTTCATGGAAGAGGCGGTATAGATTCTTGCTCACAATAATTGCTACCTCCTTTTTTCTTTTTGGTACATTAGTCTGTCCATATAATAGAAATGTGGAATAGTTTCTTGAATCTTGTTTAAGTTATACATTGCAGCCCTGGACAGCGATGACTTGCTTTACCTCAAGGAGCAGATGGAAGCCGAGGAGGATGCTGAACGCCTTCTGCGACGTACGGAAAAACGTGCATTTCAAGCATTCAAGATATCCTTTTTGTTTGTTCCTTCTTTGATGTTACCTCTGCATAATAATATTGAATGGTGACGAAAAGTGCTAATTGATGTCAATTGAATTTCATTTACACATAGAGTTATTAAAAAGGTTGATTTGATGATTTACCCCGTCGGATTTTAGCTTTGCCAGCCGAGAGGATGTGTTGTGGCTTGCGAAAGTTGGGACTCATATAACTTATCCCCCCAAAAATGACACATATGTACAGTTATCAAGTTGTATAACCATTTACATCTTCTATGTATTGCTTAACTAGTTTAAACAAAGCTGTTGCTGATTCTTCACCTGCATCTATTCCCCTGCCACTTCGTGTTGAGCCCAAGCCAAAAAGTGGGATCAGGTACAATTGATTAATTTTACATTCTTACTTTACACACTTTTTCTTCCATGTCTTCTCCCTTGTCTTTTTTTCTCCTAGTTTTTGTGCCCCAGTAATCAGAAGGTGAGTTATCTTAACATCTTGGTAATTTTTTGTGTTCAAATATTCAAGGAGTCAAACTAAGATATGTACTGGTCTACACTACAGGCAGCAAGATGTACTAAAAAGGGTTTTAGAAGTCAAGCCTAAGAAGCAGAAAGTTTCTAGAGGGTCTGATGGGAGTAATTCCATCTCAAGTACACAGGCTATTCCTAGTAGCAACTCTGATTCCAATCAGGAGAAGCAGAAAGATGTCTTGCCAGCTAAACCAAATGACACTGGAAATGAAACAAAGGTAGATAATCCGATAAAAAGCTTGGTAGCAGCATATGAGAGTTCAGATGATGAAGATTGATTTTGTATGGATATTGACGAATGATTCTTAGATCATAGTGTTTAAATCACTCAAATATCCTTAGCCTAGTTATGTGGCCATTTTGATCAAGGATCCATTGAGCATGCCTGCGCGCAGAGGCCTAAATCTTCTTACCCTGAATTAGCTGACGAGTGAATATCCACAAACTGTATGTTGTAATTTTACATAGTTGAGATGTGAGTTATTATTGTTTTGCACAAAATTTGATTCTCACTATTACCCACCTCACAGGTCTCATTCACATATGTTTATTTTAACCCAACAGATTTTTAGGTTCAATTCCATTGATCATCAACTTACAAATTGAACTCTGGAAATTACCCAGAATGAGAGTTACATGATCAATTAATTTGAAGGATCATTTGATCTAAAAACGTTGATTTATGACTAATTAAGTACAGCCAATTCATTGTACAGCTTGCTTTATATTATGTTATCAACATTATTTGTAGTGTACGTTTCTTCGATTTTAATAATTTGTGCTAATAGGAAATCATATGTTACTGTAACATATATCTAATGATAACAATCGAAGATTCAAACCATCATCATAAAAAGGAACTTTTATCGAGTATTGTCATACTAATGTGAATGAAGACTTAACCCTGAAGGACGAAGGCATAATATATACACATGTCTTGTAATTTAATCTTATACGACATTTATATTTTTTAATTTTTGATGTATATAAGTGGTCATTTAACTCGTATAAAATTAAAAAAATAGCCAGTTTGAGTATATCTCATACGAATTATTATGTCAGATGTCATATAAACATGCTCAAAATTCGATATAAATATCAATTGATGCCAACTTATAAAGATATATAATAGGATGGTTTTGTAGCTAGAGTAGAGTATTGTCGTTTAGTTTAGTTACGTTTGAGTTTTAGCAGGTGAAGTCAGATAAAGAGGTTGTTGATTGGATCGAAAGAGACAACGTAATGCATGTAGTATACGTGTCACTATTCATGCAGTGCTTCTCCCAGGTGTCCAATTTATTAGTATCTTACTGGAACCCATATTCTATATATAAACACCCCTCGATCATATCGTTCTCTAATAGCCTCGTTTTTCTTCACCTTTATCTTTAAGCGGTGTGTTTTAGGAAAAAAACATACAATTATGCAGCCACGGAGATATGAGTTTGGCAGGGCGGATGAAGCTACACACCCTGATTCTATGCGTGCCACCTTGTCTGAGTTCCTCTCTACCTTCATTTTCGTCTTTGCTGGAGAAGGATCTGTTCTTGCCCTTGGTAACTCCTAATTACTTCTATCTATGTTTCAAAATTTTCTTTTATATGACAGTTCGATGCACAAAATATTTTGTATTAAAAAAAGGGAAGAGTGTTATTAATTAATCATTCATGTGAATTAAATGTATGTGCAGATAAGTTGTACCCTGATAGAGGTTTAGGAGCGTCCAGATTGACGGCGATCGCACTGGCGCATGCATTTTCGCTCTTTGCTGCGGTAGCATCCAGTATGAACGTCTCTGGCGGTCATATTAACCCGGCTGTCACCTTTGGTGCTCTCGTGGGTGGCCGAGTTAGCGTCCTTCGTGCTATCTACTATTGGATTGGTCAGTTGCTAGGTGCTGTTGTAGCCTCTGCCTTGTTGAGGCTTGCTACTGATGGCTTGGTAAGTTCACATAAATTGAAAGGGGGAATACTTCAATCCTAATACTCGATTTTTTTTTTGAGTTATACCTCATTTTATACAATTATTTTGTCTTTTTTTTTCGAGTTTGATTATTATTACAACAAACAACAATTTTCTTATGGATACAGAGGCCAGTGGGATTTGCGGTAGCACCAGGAGTTGGCAATGGGAATGCACTTGTGATGGAAATAGTGATGACATTTGGGTTGGTCTACACTGTTTATGCAACAGCCATTGATCCAAAGAGGGGTAGTTTGGGGATTATAGCACCTCTTGCCATTGCTTTCATTGTTGGAGCTAATGTCCTTGTTGGTGGGCCTTTTGAAGGAGCATCCATGAACCCAGCAAGGGCTTTTGGGCCTGCTTTAGTGGGCTGGAGGTGGAGGAACCATTGGATCTATTGGTTAGGCCCATTTATTGGTGCAGCCATAGCTGGAATTATTTATGAGTTTGGACTCATACAGGCTCATGATGAAGCTCCAGTTCATACTCATCATCAGCCTTTGGCTCCAGAAGATTACTAAATATGTTAAAAAAGCACATTTGTGTGCTATATTATGAGTACTTGTTTTGTTTGTGAAGTTTGTATGTTTGGGTCTTTTTGTTTGCTTTCTTAAGAGTCATTGGCCCCTTCTTTGATGTATTTGCGACTTGTTTAATTTAAGTTGGTTACATGTGTAAGCTTTTAAATAACAAAAACAAGGCTATGTTGGCTCTGTATCAGTCGATTTGGTTTGATTCGGTTTTTAGAGTTTATTGGTTATTGGTTTCTAAATATTAGATATGTTAAATTGTTAATAGAATTATTAAGAATTTTGATTGTTATCGGTTCAGTTATCTTAAAACAGTTAAGATTTGACACCCAAAAGAATTATTGAAAATTAGACAAACCAAATGAATCATATACCTATTGTGAAGTTTGTGTTAAAAAGTACATTTGTGGGCTCTATTATGAGGACTTGTTTTGTTTGGGAAGTTTTTGCATGTTTGGGTCTTTTTGTTGCCTTTTTAGAGTCCCTGGACTCTTCTTTTTGATGTATTTTCGACTTGTTTAATTTAAGCTGGGTGAATGTGTAAGCTTTTAAATAACAAAAACAAAGCTATGTTGTCCGTAATAAGTTTGTGTATTAGTCGGTTTGGTTTGATTTTGGAATTTATTGGTTATAGGTTTGTAGATAGTAGATATGTTAAATTGTTATACAATTATTAAGAATTTTCCTTTATCGATTATTGATCAAAGTCGATTTAGTTATTGATTAAATCGTTAAGATTTGACACCTAAAAGAATCATTAAAAATCACTTAGAAACACGGTGACAAATCAAATTAATCATTTACCCGAGTTGACGGATTGAATCTTGTTTAAAAGCAAATATTATTATATTGTAGAATAATCGAGAGTTTGAGAAGATTAGAAATAAAACTATGAAATTGAATTCTAAGTCAAAGACTTTATATTCCAAATAATATAAATATAACTATTTAATTTACTATTTTTTTCCGATTAACAGAGATTTTCATTCATAACCAAAAGGGATCCTTACAAATCAACATAGTTTTAGGACCAACTCCTTCTCATACTATCCATCCATCTTTCTAATCATACAGAATACAAAGCAAGAAACTAATTTATTACTACATTGCAAAAAGCCTAACTCTAAGAATATTGATTAAAAGCTTATAGTATAGATTTCCATTTTGCCTTGTGTTGTCCTCTCTCTCAGATAAATCGTATTCCATAACAAAAAAATCAAATGACATTTTTATTAATCACTCTTAAATCCCTACTGCAGTGTCTTATGCAATTTTACTTTGTAGGTTGTATTTATGGTATTGCTTTTCAATATTAATTACAATAATTATTTTGTACATTTTGTTAAATAGAGCTATGTTTTAAGTTATTTCTTTTCTTATAATGAAAGTGACAAATAACTCAATTGGTATTTACCTAATCCCTCCGTCTCAATTTAACACACTATAACTAGAAATCTAGAATCTTATTACTTTGCACTCCACCATATTTGGTTACAATAGGTTGGAGGAAAGTTAAATTTTGTTGTACATATTTGACTTATAAAAAATATTTAAATTTGCATGTAAAAAACATATTAAGAATATAATTACTTTAAATAATAATAAAAAGTGTTTTTTAATAATGCAATTTTTAATTAAGATGATCATACACTTTAAAAATCTAACTTAATTAGTAAGTTTGATTCTACAACAGTACTAAAGAGTACAATTGAAAACTCAAGCAAAGAGATAGAGTTAGTAATATTTTTTCTACTGATTATTCGAGAATTCTGTCCTATACTAAGTTTCATACAAAGGAAGTGTTGAAACTCAAGCACACATATTTCATATACATGAAGTTTTAAAACTTTAGTATAATATATCAGAGTTTCATTTGTAAAAAAATTGAACTTCAACGTATGGTAGTTGATTTTTTTCGTATTTTAATTAAGAATATTTTTATCTAAATTTTATTGAACATTAAAAAAATAACAAGTTCTTGATTATGTATCAAACAATGAATAATTTACAAAAATCTCCTCGAATTTGTTGATCATGAAAACTTCCACCCTACTTGTGTCATGAACAAAACTCTCGATTCAATAATTTTTGACTTTTAATCTTAAAGGTCGATCTCGCTGTGTAGTTAGTTTCCTATCAAAACAACGGTTAATTTTTAAATACCAGTTCAAAAGTGGCTAAACTATCAATGTTTTACGATTTCAAAAAGAGAAACTTAATCAGCTCAGCCTATAAAGCCCAACAGCCTAAGCCCAGCCCAGCCCAATACGAGCAAGGTTTTATATTTAAGTTTCTCTATACCAGAAAGGGTTTTATAGATACGTTCGTGAGGAGAGAATCTCGATCTGCCGCAAGCCGAAAAAACCCTAGCAGCAGAAAGGGAAGAAACAGAGCACAACCATGGCGACGCAAGATGTAAGGACTCTTTCGACTAAAGAAGCTGATATTCAGATGATGTTGGCTGCTGAAGTTCACCTCGGTACTAAGAATTGTGACTTCCAAATGGAGCGATACGCTTTCAAGCGCCGTAACGATGGTATGAAAGTCTTTAACTTGATTATCTATCTCATTTCCTTGATTGTATGTGTCTTTCGTTATGTTAAAAGTATATCTTATGTCTATTAGCTGTAAGTAGCACGGGTTTATGCATAATTGTTTGTAGATGCCTGTAAAGTTGGCATTAGGTGTATCGATTTGGTTATCCACGAACTTGTTTTAGAAAAAAATGTAAGTAACAGTTGGAAAGATTTAGAATTTTTAGTTGCTGGAGGCGCCACGACTTCTTTGTGATAATCGTATTCAACTCTCTTTACATGGTAGGATTTGCACATTTTTATGATTAAGCCGATTCATGAGTAGTTGTCTTCTAGGTGCACTTTATCAAACTATTAGATTCATATCAATTAGATATTGGCACTTAACAAGAAATTTGATAAAGCAAACAACAGTAATGACTCTTACAGTTTATGTACTGCAACTATTCTAAAACACATTAATTAATTCACCAGGCATGTGGATAGATTGGAATTCACCAACCTTGTGGCAAGTCAAGCTAATACCTTTACAATATGCATTGAATGCAATTTAAGTATTTTGAAGTATTCTCAATTTTCTAGGGTTGAGTGTCTGTATTGGTCAAATTGTGATTAGATTGCGTTGTTTGTAATTGCTGGTTTCTCTTCTAGATAATCTTTCCATTGTTTGACTTGCATATATATAATATGCATTCGTAGTCGTTAAGCGTTTTATCTCATGTTGGAATTCTTTATCTGCAACATGTCATTCTCTCTCTTTTTTGTTTACTTCCATTAAATTTATCTTAGATGTGCATTTTACTACTACTCTATGTTGGCCAACTATAGATACAACTTCAAATTCATGGTGTCTTAACAAAATCTTCATTAGTGGTTTTGGTTTCTCTGTTTATTTGACCCTAAGTATTTATATTCGTAGGTATCTACATCATCAACCTTGGAAAGACGTGGGAAAAGCTTCAAATGGCTGCCAGGGTGATTGTTGCTATTGAGAATCCTCAGGACATCATTGTTCAATCTGCCAGGCCATATGGACAGAGAGCTGTCTTGAAATTCGCCCAATATACTGGTGCACATGCTATTGCTGGACGTCATACCCCTGGAACATTTACCAATCAGCTTCAGACCTCATACAGTGAGCCGCGACTCTTGATTCTCACTGATCCAAGAACTGACCATCAGGTTTTACTTACTATCCTGCTACTAATATTCTCTTTTTAAACTTGCCAATGATAACTAACCTGTTTGAATACTTTGCAGCCAATCAAGGAAGCTGCACTTGGGAACATCCCAACTATTGCTTTCTGTGACACTGATTCTCCAATGCGCTATGTCGACATTGGTATCCCTGCCAATAACAAAGGAAAGCACAGCATTGGTGTTCTTTTCTGGATCTTAGCAAGGATGGTACTCCAGATGCGTGGGGCCATTAATCAAGGACCTAAATGGGATGTTATGGTAAAGACCATCTTTATTCATTTTATTTTGTATAGCTCTAACTCCATTGTTACATTCTGCTGCTGGTGGTTGTGTGCTCTTCTGAAATTTAATAGATGATTTAATGCCTTCTTTTGCAGTCACTGAATATAGATTTTTCATTTGCATCTGTTTATTTCTATTTTTGCAGGTTGATCTCTTCTTTTACAGAGAGCCTGAAGAGGCAAAGGAGCAAGAAGAGGAAGCGCCAGCAATCGCAGATTATGCAGACTACTCTGCTAGTGCTGCCCTTGGTGGTGACTGGACTAGTAGCCAAATCCCTGAGGCGCAATGGACTGCAGATGCTGCAGCACCTCCAGTAGGTGGTGGTTGGGCTGGAGATGGAGGTTAGTTTGTTATTTTGTGAAATTGGTTCCTGGTATTGTCTGCTAAGAAATTTCAACCCCAACTGAAACTTCATTGCTCTTGAGATCATTTTAGCTGATAAGTCTTTTGCTTCTCTTTTTTTTTTCCCCGTGCTATAATTGTGAGCCTCTTCTGTGAGTAAGCATTTGGTGATTTTAAGTTATTTTTATTCCTAAATTTGTCGGCACTAATAACCTTGCCTTTTTGTTTCCGGGAGGAATTTCAGCAGCTGATGGCGGATGGGACGCAGCAGCTCCCCCTGCACCAGTTCCTCTACCAGTACCAGATGTTCCCCCCACTTCTGGTGCTACAGGCTGGGAATGAGCCTTTTTCCTTTAAGCTCTTCATCCTTTTTTGGATAAAGATTAGATATTCCGAGTTCTACAATAGATGGTTTTTTAATGGCACAGTTAAAAAGGATTTTGACTTCGTGGATGTACTGAATTATTTAATCATTGCTAGAGCAGTGTTTCTTTGGAGAATCTGGAAGTGCTTTTGTTTTGAAAAAGTGGAAAAGCGAATTTTTGTTGTGGTCGTATCTATTTCTGCCTACATTCCATAATTGTATTACCATGTTCTTGTTTGGAGGGTTTACTTTAATCAATCATAAGTAAGAGCAGTGTTTCTTTTAAGTTGTCGCATGTTAGTTTCTCATGTATGTTAGAAACTTTAGATTCAGTTTATTGAAATTTCTACTGATGGTTCTTTAGCTTAGTGCTGTTTGATAACCTGAAAATATGTCCAATTTTTCATCTAAGCGGCATCACTGATTCTTGCACTAAAGAATTGTACTGAATTGTCAGGTTTGCATATCCGTGTCTCTA